TAAATAACTAAAGTCAAAAAGGGTTTGGGCATGGCACAAATTTATACAACAGGCACAAATGGTAAACCACCTGCCTAGTAAGCATGAGGCCATGAATTCAAACCCCAGGATTGTCAAAACAATGTATATCCAAAATTGGAAACTCAGAAAATCAAATACAGAGAAGTGTGAGTACTGGAAAATCTTAGTGAGTTCATCTGGTGGTATTCTAGTTTGGAGATACTTCCTCTACATTTTAACTTTAAGTCTTTGCTATACCAATTGAAATAAAAAGAACTGAACTATTAAAAGGAAATTCACCTTTCAGGTTTCATCAGAATTTATGTGTTGCCATGTCAGTGCACAGCCCTGTACTTGGGGCCCTGGTTCTTCTTTTCTCTCACATTGATTATGTTATTGTATCTATGGAAGTGGTTAGCAAAGCAGTAATTTCTGAAAAGTTAGTTATTATTGAGCTACGTTAATGACTGAACTAAGTAAGGGCTGTTGATTATCTGAAGCAAAACTGGCTTGTAATTGGTGACAATAACTAGACCCTGAAGGCTGTTCTTGGGTTGCAGTCTGATATCTACCTACTATTCATCAGACTTTGTCAGTGTTTATAGAAAGGTAGGTTTTTATTAGCCTCAAAAGCAAAACAGAACAAACAAAAAACTAATTTTCTTTTCTCTTCTCTGTGTTGTTAGGGAAAGAACCCAGGACCTCACACTTATTAGGCAAGTATTCTACCACTGAGCTACAACTTCAGTACGACCTCCCCAACCCCTAATTTTGTATGTATTTTTATTATCCAAAAAAATTTATACAACTGTCCAAATAAAAATGTTTTCCAAAAAATAGTGGGTAAATTTAAATCTGAAGCATGGCAGTATTGCCCAGAAAAAAATTGTTATAAAGGAAAATGACCCAAGCCTTGTATGCACATATGAATAATAAAATAATTTTAAAAAAAAAGAAACCAAATGCTACAGACAGTAGAGACATGGACAAAAAAAAAAAAAAAGGAAAATCACAACCTTGAAAATAGAGAGGACAGTCTCACGACACCCATGCACTTGTTACCCAGACAGCAATTATCAACAGCCGTCACTTTCTCACACCCACTCTGCACTGGTAGGAGGCAAATTTTAGACTTCATATAATTTCAGTTATTACAATTTCCATAGGTATTAAGCAGGGACTTTAAGTTAGACAGGTTTGGAGTCAAATCCAGGCCATGCCGTCTATACACTGTAAACATGCTGCCCTGGGCTGTCCACTTGGGTTCTTTGAGCCTGTCTTCTCCCTAAAAATAAGGCTAGTAATTTCTACTTTTAGGGACTGCAATACAAGGAGAATGAGAGAAGGAGTGTCAAAAGAACAAGCAAGAGAATTAGTTAATATACGGCAGCTGTGGTTATTATTATTGTACAGCATGTCAGGACAGAACGCCTCCTGGTTCATCTCCAGGAAGGTCCATAAAGGACGAACAGATAACAAATACTTATGAGAAACCAACCTACTGCCCTGCAAATTGTAATTTAAGGTCAAGCACTGGCATCTGACTCCCATGAGGAACAGGAAAGAGCAGTCAGTGGTGGCTGCATGGAGGGGCTGTCATGGAGGCAAGTGGTACTTTCTAAACAGTGCAAGGTCACTATGGTGACCTTTGCAGTAGAGAAGAGGCTCTCCCACTAAGCCAGTGAAGGAGCCCATGCCCACAATAGGCCTCCTCTTCACTGCTGGCTCCCAATGGGAGACAGGCCTGAGATGGGCAAGGGAAAGTCTGCCTTTTACATCAAGTACAAAGTATACATTTTAAGTGCTGAAACTAGGCTTTTCTTGTAACTACAATTGTTGAGAAAACTTGTTTTATTAAAAGTGAAAGAAAAAATGTACAGAGTATATATAATAGGAGACATATATAAATTTTCCATCAGAGGCAGGGGCAGGGCATATAGAATGAGCTCAAAGGGGAAACCAGAAGAAAAAATGAGTTGTTGTTTCCCTCCCTCCCCATCATACTCTGCCCTTCTGATAGGAATAGAGTGGAGAATGCTTTACAAAATTATTAGGAAGTTAAAAATTTTTTTAAATAAAAAAATTAGTAAGAGATAGATATTAATAAACACTCAGTAAACTGTATAATGCATGGTCAAGTATTAAAATATGGGACTTGTTACTGCTAAATAGAATATAACTACTGAAGATTTGTTAGAAAAACTGTTCTCTGACTCATGCCTGCAATCCCAGCTACTTGGGAGGCAGAGATAAGAGAGTTGCAGCTAGAGGCCAGACCAGGGAAAAGTTAATGAGAACCCCATCTCAACCAACAAGCCAGTTATAGTGTCAAATGTCTGTAATACTAGGTAGCAGGAAGCATAGGTAGGAGGATAGCAAAAAGGGCTAGCAGTGAGGCTCAAGTGGTAGAGCTGCCAGCAAGCACAAGGCCCTTAGTTCAAACCTTAGTACCCCCCCCCAAAAAAAGAGAAATTGAAGTTGTTCTTTTTTTATTCCTTTTACTTTTACTTCCTATTGACCAATAGCAGGATGTTTCCATGAAGGATTCTATTCATTCTTCCCAAAACAATGGAACAAGAAGGGGGCAGGGAAAGTTGCTGAGGAATCAGGGATAAAGGATAAAAGGGGAGTTTGGATTCACCATACAGCAACAGGGAGAGATAAACCAGTAAGAGGAGATACACAAAACTGAAAAAAGCCTAGTAAAAGACCCTTTTAATGGCCACTGTGCAGTCAGATGAAGCAAATTCATGGCTCTTGAAAACTCTGATCTCAGTCCCTTAGTTACCATGAAATACTGTGTACATTCCGAACATTCCTCTGTGGGTTTTGGAAGCTCATTCCATTTAAGATCCATATTTCTTTGGAGGAAAAAAGTTATTCATTACTTTCAACTATGGAAGCACTATATTGACCTTTATAATAAATAAAAACTGTGAGTGCTGTGATTGCATTTTGAATTATAAGTAAGCACAAATTCATTCTTCAAAAACACTAAATGGCAAGCGAGAGTTACTTCCACTTAAATTATGGCGTGTCCAAACAAATGAGACCCTTCTGTGACAATCATGGCATCCCTGTGCCATCCACTTAAACAAATACAGGTGATAGTGCTCATTCAGAGCTTGCCATCTTCATAGCTGATGGCACGAATTCTAGACAACCCAGTATGCTGCTTCAGCATTGACCACAACCCAAGTCAGCCACAGAACTCAGTGTGCATAGTTACAGAGTTCAGATTCATTTTTAGTAGAGGCAGCAGTGTGTTATTTCAAGTTTTCTGCTGCTATCGTAACACAGCTGATGGGACTATTTCTTGTCAGAGTGATAATGATGAAAAGTTAAGTCTCAATTTCAATTCTAACCTACTAAAACTGCTTGAGTAACTGATTAGAGTGTAAGTCAAGGCAATCAAATTTATTTTTGGTTATGCAATCACAGAACTGATTACTTTTCAAATAAAAATCCAGAGAACCTACTAACTTCCCAGAATAAAAGTAACAAGCAGTAGTTTGTATGTGAGAGAGAGAGCAAGTGTGAGCGTGTACCCATGTTTATGCATGGGGTGGGGCAAGAGTGGGGTGGGGAGGGGGGCCTTACAGTTTTCTCTCTGGCAGCCATGATGGAAAAAGAGAATGGAAAACTACATCATCACTATTTAAATCTATGAATAATGCCCAGATAATCTAGCATGACTTAAAAAAAAATTATGATTGTTGAGCTCAAGCTCAACAATCAGTCATTTATAATAGATTGATTGTTTTCAAGGTAATTTTATCAATTCAAGAACTATCTTGGGTGGACGAAGGCAAGAAGAAACAACATACAAAAAAAAAAAAAAAAAAGAAAAGAAAAAAACCCCAGCTGTTTTCTACCCTTAAGTTAAAGACAGATTGATTTCTGGATGATAGTAGCTTTTATCCTGTAACACCAATCCTACAAAATAAAATACAGCCAGTCTAAACTGATTAGATGAATAATTTTTTTTTTAAAAAAGCATCTTTCATTTAACTACAATTCATTTATATAATCATTGCCTACTTTAAAAGAATCTCCCTCAAACATGACTACCCTCTACCCCTACTGCAAGAAGACTAGAGGTCACTTGAAGACAAAGAAAAAACTAGGAGCCCTTCAGGTGGGACACAACATAAGAGAGGTCATTTTGTCCATTCAGTTAGTGAAGTCACCTGGATATAGAATTAGGAACAACTTTTCCCTTCTTATCCAGAAGTCTGAGAACTAAGTTCCCAGAAACATCTAAGGGCAAAGGAATGACAAGACTTGCCAGGGGAGAACAGAAGAACGACCATGAAGTAGTGAGAGTGACTTTTAAATAAATGTGCCAGAACTAATACACACAATGGATATTGTCCCTTCAAAGTCATTATCTTGGAAATTCTATGTTTATCCTAATGCTGTTACCGGCACTTAGGAATTTGTTTCCAAGCCTGGAAGTTTCCACATTCTTAAAGCTAGCAAGTATTAGTCTTCTCAGGCTGAGTAGAGCCGCAGTCAAACATCATCAGAGTAGTTGTGATTTTTGTTGGAAAGTCCTTCCTGATATCCGCAGTCTAGGGGACATGTCCACTCCTAAACGATCCCTGTGCTTCCTTATATATCATCTTTTCTGACAAAGCTATAAACTTCATCAGCACAGAGAGTTTATCTATCTTCTTCGTTTTTACACCCTCTTTGTTTTTTCTAGTGCCTAGAAAATTACAGGAACCAAGAAATACTGAATAATGTAATCTGCTATAATATAAAGTGGTTTGGAATACCATTTGTGCTTTCTCTATTTACTTTCTCCACTCCTCTAAGAAAAGAGGAGTGTGATTATACACCTATGTGGGAATACTGCCTTATATACCTGGGAGGGTTGAATTTGATTATTTTCACTACTTATTTAGACATAGAAAAAAGCAAAATCACGATTATATCTTCACGTGTTAAAAGTTTACAACTTTCTCATTCCCAAATTTTCAAGTATGATGTCTTACCTAGTTGCAGTACCTTTACAGTGTCCCTGTAGGCCTTCATCACCAGCTTGAAATGGCGATAGAGTGGGTAGCACAAAACTCTTCTTCCAAAAGACACCACAATTTCATGAACATTAGTCCAAGTCTGTGAAGTGTCATTTTAATAAGCAGTCATTTCCATAAAATACATTACACAAACAAAAGCACACCATGAAAAAGAAAACGATTCTCAATTAAAACCTATAAACTTGGATCATCATGAAGTAGAAGATAAAGATAAATCCATGAAATAAGGTTCTTTTTGTACACCTTACAATAAAATATCTTATCGCAGTCTTGTTATTTCATACTATATCAACATATCACAAACACTCCTTAAAAATCACTTGCATAGCAGTAAAGTTTTAAAGAGCCTTAAGAATTACAGGGCTGGTGGAGTGGCTAAGCGGTAGAGCCCTGAGTTTAAACCCCAGTGCTGCCAAAAAAGAATTATAAATAAGAATCTAAAACCCAAGGCACTAACAGAGGGCGGGTGCAAATGAAGGATGCTGCTAAACGGTGTGCTTTGTGTCTTGTCATTTAGGGTCTCAATGTGCACAGATCGAGGACGTGGAGTCCTTAGTGAAGGATGTTCGCTCTCCACTCTCCTTATTCCTGTTTTTTATTTTTGGTTTGGGCCTGAGTAATACATGATAGTTACTTGAGTAATTTGCTTTTATTTATCAGAAAGAAAACGCTGCACTGCTGATGTCTAAGGGAAAAAGTCTTCTTGAGAGGTATCAAACGGATACATTTAGTAATTCAAAACTTATAAAATTATTTTTAATTGTTTTTTGATCAGTCAAGTATGAAATATAAATCATATATAAAACTTAAAATATAAAATTAAAACTAAGGGAGCAAGAAAATTTCTATGTATGCTAAGCCTTAATGCTATAGGGGATCTAGTACATATACTGAATATTTGACAAAGAATATTTTATATCTAAAAAGAATTATGAACTTTTAAAAGATTCTGGCAAAAACCTAAGTACTTATAAAAGTATAATATAGTTCTTAATATGTCTGATAATTCTAAATCACCTCAAAACAATAAAAATTTCAAAATAAATCATAAATAGGTAGATTTTCATATAGATTTGAATAACTACACAACAAAATTATCTCATCACCGACTACTTTTATGATATTAATTGGTGCTGAGGATACATGTGTATCTTCCATCAGCAATGTGCATGTGAAACGGCTGAGATCTGGCTGCAGATCAGATCCCATTCCATAGGCTGGGGACTCAGAGTTTGTCCATCTAAAAAGCTTCAGTTGAGCTGCTGGCCCCTGGACCTCTTGCAGGAGTAAGGTTCTCTCAGGAATAAGTGACTTACTTCCTCCTCAGGTATCAAAGTAACGCATGGAATTTCACAACCTAAAACACTAGTTGTTTTCACTGACAAGATCACTATCAACTGCGTGACAACTGTTAAATGCTTCCACTTTTAATTACTGTTTGGGTGCACCATAGTTTGTTCACAACTACTAAATTTAAAGATACCATCCTTTGATATTTTTGGTGAGACCTATACAACTACTTTGTAGAAAATAAGTATAAAAACAATTAATACTATACTTAAAGAGGCACCAGTATTAACCAAATAGTTGGTGGACCCAGGATAAGTTATTTAAGTTATATGAGCAAAGTTTCCTTACCTATAAAACCAGCTATACTCACTCACCAACTTGTTGAGGGGAACAGGTAAAGTAATAGATGTAAAACACCTTGCACAAACCTACCTGAAGGTCCACTACCACCTACCTAGGTTTGCTTCCCATCTTTGAGCTCTGAGCCCCACTATTTGCCAATTTACCAACACACCTCCAACTCCATCCACACTCTCCCCCAACAAACCCTGTCCTCATTGTTCTTCCAAAGAGCATTTTCCTCCACCAACTTCCAAGATACCTACCTGGCTTCACTATAAGTTTACAAAAAGAGGAAAAACACACTTATACAATGAAGCTTCCACTTCTAAGAGCTACTTAAACTACCCAAAATGCTTAAGGACAACAGAAAATAACTTTCCAAATAATAAAAACCTCAACAAAGGACTGGGAATCATACCTCAAACCAGGACAGGGTTGGACTCAGTTTTCTAATATTCCATGCAGACTCCACCTTTGTTTTGGAGAAAAGACCATTATCACCTTTAGAAGTAAAGTCATTTGAAAAATAAATCCAGTACATTTACTTATGCTAGCATCTGAGTAGTACTGACATATGCAAGAAAAAAGATAACTGTTTTACTGTTACAGAAACTTAGAGATTTTACAAAATAAAACCTTCCTATAGATAAGAATGCCAGAACACAAAAGCAAATAGGCAGAGGCTTTGAAGCTAAAAATTAAAGCAAAATGATGCTTGATTGGTTTCCCTCCTTCTCCACTATGTCATTTGCTGTTGAAGTGCTGTATGGTGCTTAAAAAGCTGCTGAGGAATTTGGCCTTTCAGAAAATACAGGTAAGAATAAGATATTCTAGACAAGCTCTCAAAGTTCCAAGACTTCATGGTTTCAAACAATCAAACAGATGAATAAAAAATTGTAAATTTTATCAAGTACAACTAAACACTCTCACTTATCATGAGTCAATAATAATGAAGCACTTTTTCATCAAAGTAAACATTTTATTCATCTATATGTCTTTAAAAGGTGAGTGAAAACAAAGTATCTTCAGATACAGTATGCCTTTTATATACTTAATATTATTCATTTTGAAGTCACATGCAAACCTTAAGAATTAGCTCAGAAATTTTCAGAATCATGTCAAGAAAAAAACTGGCACATACCAAACTTGTAACTCTTAATACTATGTGTTCAGTGAAAAAAAAGAGGACTAAACAACAGTATATACATTATATATAAAAGTAGGTTAAACAAGTGTCTATATGCTATAATCCAACGTAAATATATGCATGTGTACAGTGAAGGTAACTGGAAAGAGACACACCACTTGGTAGAAGTGATTATTTCTGATTACTGAAATTACAGGAAATCTCAATTCTTTTTTGCATGTGTGTATTTCCTCTACCATGATATAAGTTACTCATGTAATTCAAAAACAGGAAAGCATATGCTAAGGTCAGAACTCTGAGCACAGACAATTATAAAACAGCCGCAGAACCACATTAACTAGAGAATCAGTTTTGTTTTTCCAGCTTTTTAAATTAATTTACTCATTTTTGTGGTGCTAGGAACCCACAGCCTTTTCAAATATATGATATATGCTTCATCAATATACAATATACAAGCAAAAAGAAAGTTTGGCTCTTCATTTATGAAATTAAATATGGTTTAAGATATACAATAAAGCCCGTATTATTTTTTTAAAAGATCATTTAAGAGACAGTTTATTCTACAAAAGGATTTAGTTTTATGTTATGATTCTGTCTATCTATTTATATTATTCATTTACTTATTTAGGTTTTTTTTTAAGAGACAGGGTCTTGCTATGTAGCCCAGGCTGGCCTTAAACTCACAACCCTCCTGCCTCAGTCACCCAAGTGCTAGGCTGATTCTTTTAGATAGCAAAAAGAGATATGATTAGGTTTTTTAAAATATGGCTTACATACAATCTTTTAGAAGTATGTATTCTGTGAACTGAGAAACATACAGGAACATGCAGGTACATGCTAAGACTCCTTTTTGTGAGGTTTTCTTTGGTGGGGAGGGCACAGGGGTTTGAGATAGGGTCTCATCCTATATCCCAGGCTGGCCTAGCACTTGTTACGTATGTAGCCCAGGTTAGTCTTGAACTCTTGATCCTCCTGCCTCAGACTAGTGAGTGCTGGGATTATAGGTGAGCACCACCACAACCATCTTTTCCTTTTTGTAGAACTCAGTTCTTGGCATACGTTGATTGATGGCTTAGAGAAAGAATGTCAATGAGAGTGGCAGTTGACCCCTTTGCCAACGTCAAAGATCACATGACATCGCCCTCTCTTTGGCCTCAGAGAGATGAAAGCTCAAGGATGTCTTTCTACCCTCATTTTCACATCCTTAAACTTCCACTGCCACCCACAGCACCTTTATCTTGGACATCCCTACGTAAGGCACCACCATGGGCTCTGCTCCAACAAGAAAGATGATGTTTTAACTTGGTTTACTTAGCACAGTGTCTCTCAATACACACAGACATGTGCACTTACGTTCTGCTCGCCTTCTGTGACTCGAATTTCATAGCAATACGCCAGAAGGATATCAATTAAACTGTAGTACACCTGACGATGGGCGTTCTTGTCCAGCAGGTAAGATTTATTGACAAATTTTCGTAGTTGATATTTCTCCTCTTCAGAAAAACACACTAGAAAAGAAATGCATTTGAAAATTAAACATCCCATTCAGTTTTGTAAAACCGCCAACATGAAAGATTTGCCAGAATTAGAACTCTGAATATAGAAATTGAAATGAATTTATTTCTACTTAACTCTGAATATATAAACAACTTTTACAAGAAGATTTTACAGTTTTGTTAAGGGATCTGCAGCTGGACATGATGGCTCACACCTGTAATCTCAACTAGTAAGCTGGGCATGGTAGTGTGCCAGTGCACACCTGTAAACCTGTCTACCAACAAGTACCACATTAAAAGTCCAGTCTTTACATTCTATGGTTTCCCCGCACCCATGTGGCCCTATGTGGATATGTAAACAGTCTCTCACACATCAGCTCTGGCAAATTCCTACAAGTCAAGTGCAGCTGGGTGAGCTTCTGTAAAGGAGCAGAATGTGCCATGATGCACCACGCTCCGTCCAGCTACTCCCCCTACTTACCTTCTATTTTTCTGCTACTGCTAATAATGCCGCAGTAAATGTCCTTGTGTCCTGAAGCTTTCTAATTTCTATAAAAGATTTCTGAGTAGATTTATTGGCTCAGAAAGTTTATGTTTTTTGCTGTGCTTTTTAATTTACCACTGCAACCTTGCAGAGCTGGGGATTGAATCTAGGGCCTTGTGCATGCTAGGCAAGCACTCTACCACTAAGCTACATTGCCAATTCCATTTATAAATTTTTTAAAATACTCTATTAAAAGCTACAATAACTCTCCTTTCTGACGGTCATGTAACCAAGTTCCTCTTCCCATACATACCTCCCACCTTCTTGGCAATAAACCTCAGAGCACTCTTCCCATTCACGTCCAGTTCAGTGGATTTAAAGGAACTGTGGGAGGCAGAATTCTAAGATGAAGCCCATGGGGACACATCACTATGAAAGGATAGAGCTTGGGACTTGCTTCTGTCCAAGAAAATATGGCAAAGATGATGGGACAGTCAGTGCCATGATCACACCCTGTTATTGGGGACTGGAGTCAGGGCCTTTCTTGCTGGTTTTGAAGCAGGGAAGAGGACACGTGGAGGAGGGGACTGTGAGAAGGCTGCAGGGTAGGCACCTGAGAGTGCCCTCAGCTGGGAGCCAGCAACAAAGAGATGGCCTCAGTTCTACAGAAGTCAGAAAGATAATTCTGTCAACAATTATGTGAGACTGGATGAGGACTGAGATCTAGAAAGGAAGGGGCCACGAACACCTATTTAAAAAAGGGAAAAAAAAGGTACATTTGGCAACAGCCTTCCAAAATCCAGCTGAGCTCCTGACAGAGGCATGCCTAACTCTGGATGCATGACTATGAATGTGTGCAGTGTCAACTGGCTGTACAGCAAGAGAAAACTAAAATGGTGACTTACTGTTACTTCAGTTAGTATCCCTCTAACTGCAAAACTTTGAGCATTATTTCCTAGGTTTGTTGGCAACCTGGATTTGCTCTCTTATGAATAACCAATTTGAAGGTGTTCTGCTCAATTTTTTCTACTGGATAGCTTCTCTCATCAAATTTTCCAGAACTCTTTGTATCTTTTAAATCCTAACCACCTCACCAAATCTAATGTATCTATGGTCTTTTTTTATGATACCTTTTGCCAGTGAAGTCTTTTTTTAATGTAGCCAAGTTAAGTCTATCTTCTTTTTTTTTTTTTAGAGTGGATTTATAGCCTTGGTTAATGTTTCCCTAACCTCTGAATTGTACACAAAGTGTCTTTAAGACCTACTGTTTCATTTTCTATGCTTAAATCTTTAATCCATCTGTAGGCTAGTTTTTTCATGTTTCAAGATTTCAGTTTATTCCAGTTGAACAGTTAACTGTGCCAGCACAATTTGTTCAGAAATCCATTTTTCCCACTATATTGAACCAGTAACTTTGTCAAATAGATCTGTTGCTTTTCTTGCTAAAAATTACTTCAAAGTATTTTTGTTTTTGTCACTGTTGTGAATACAGCAATTTTCCCCATTTCCATTAATTAAATAATTCTTGACAATAGACAAAAAACTATATATTAGCCACTTTACCAAATACTGACTACTCAGCCCAAACCAAGTCCAAATACTCAAATGCTTATGATAAAACAGAAATACTTTGTTTCCATAAAGGCAAGTATGAGTCTGTTGTTCCAAGTTTCTTCTGATGCCTAGGATTCAGGCAATCTATCATAAAGTAGTCTCTAAACATCAAATCTTCCAATATTTATAGACCAGAAAACATATAACACAATTTGCTATTTAATTATGTATCTTCTTGCATTAAACATACTTATTATTGATTCCTTGTTTTTTTTTTTTTTTTTGCTTTTTGAGGCAGGGTCTCACTATGTACCCCAGGCTGGCGTTGAACTCATGATCCTTCTGCCCCAGCCTCCTGAGTGCTGAGATTATAGGCGTGTATCTCTAATGGTCCTCGTTATTATACACACAAAGAAAGATTTACAGAGAGAGTAACAGATAAAAGCATGAACTAATAGCTCAGTTTGTAGCTATTATAACTAAAATGTGGTCTTTCACCTGCCTTAGAGCAATTTTAAAAGAAAACTAATTACATGTACATATAGCTACCTCTAAATAAAAGTGTTATTAACCTCTCATCTTGCAAAGTAATTTATAATTTTCTTTCCAGCCCCTATCAGACAATCACTTTCAAATTCACTTGAAGGGATTTTCAGTCCAGAGGAAGAGGAGCACCCTGCTTCCGTTTCTGGTGCTTCACATCAAAACAATGTCAAGATGACCTTCAAACCTTTTTCTCCAGGTGGTAGAATTGTCCATTATGTATGGGTTATAAGTTATGGGCTAAATGCTGTAACAAACAGAGCCCCAAAGATTCAAAAGCCTGAGGCTTAAATAAGAAGTTTCTCTCCTACTACTATCCTGGGTAAACAACACAGGGCTGGCTGGCCATTAGCCTCCCCACATGACCTCCATCTATGGGTCCAAGATAGCTGCTCTGGGTTTTTGTCATTTTCTAACCAATTGAGAAAGCAAAACATAAGACAGCAGCACCTCCCTTCTCAAGACTAGATCCAGAAAGTGCATCTATCACTTCCAACCAGACAGGACCCAGAAACATGACCACACCTGGTTGCAAGGACAGAAGGGGAATGCAGTCATTGGCTGAGTGGTCATGTGCTCAGCTGGAACTCAAGGAGGCCTCTTAATGAAAGAAGGAAGAAGGACTGTGAAAAGACACCTGGTCTCTCTGCCACCTTTTCAGAGAAAAAAAAATTATCAGAATACTTTTTAATATTCCCAAACCATTCTCTTATTAGCTGTCTAGCTACATAGTCCCTTTCTGCCTCTGCTCAGTAAAGACTGCCTTTCTCCTCTTCACAACTTGACAAGAGCTGGAAAAGATGACAACACACAAATGATGAAGCCCTGCACAGGTTTGGAAAAATGTCTCCCAAGGCCCATGTGTGAAAGGCTTTAGGAGATGGCAGAATCTTTAAGAAGTGGGACCTCAGGGGAGGTCTTAGGTCCCGGGGGTGTGCCCTCGAAGGGAATAGTGAAATCTAGTCCCTTCCTACCTTCTTTTGTATCCTAGCCATGAAGTGAATTGTACTTCTGCCATGATGTGCTGTCTCACTACAGGCCCCAAAGCAATAAGGCCTGTTGATCATGGAGAGAAACCATGAGCCAAAATAAAGCTTTCCCATTTTTAAGTAGATTATCTCAGGTATTTTGTTACAGTAACAAAAAGCTGACTACCACATCCCTTTTCAGATAGAATTTTCTAAATTCACTTCTGTGCACTTTTATGAGTCTTAAATTTAACATGACTTCTTTTTATTTAAATGTTTCCAGTCATTTTGCAGCCTATCCTGGGGGGGCGGGTCTTAAATACTTTTATTTTAAATTACTAGAAGCAATACTCCTTTTAATACACTATAATATAAAGGTTTGAGACTGTATTCCCTTAATATACTTAATGCAAAACACAGGTTTTGAAAAACATTTATATAATTATTTTTTCAACCATGTTACCAATCCTATGCAAAAAAAATTAATGTATTTGTACAAGCATTATACAAGTGACAAATAATTATAAGCATGCATTTAATTTGCTGGCCATCAAGGTAAGGAAGGGGTATTTTTTAAAAACTTTAACAATACAGGTAGGTGTCAAGTGAAGCATTCTTTAAAGGTTGTTTAAAAATGAAATAATTCTGATAAAATGGGTGGTGATTGCCTCATTAAAGAACTCACTTAAAGATTCCTTAATTTAAGTAAAAGCTTTTCGTTCACTTCAGGCAATTCAATTTAAGGCAACTGCATGAAGGAACATAGTCACTGCCTGAAGGAAGTACACCTGACAAAGTATTTTAGAACCCTTTGTATTTAGCAAGAAGATTTGAGACAGAATTCCCTTAAGCATAGTTTTCCAGACATTCATTAATTCAGCTAATAGGAAAGTGCCAGGTGTTCATGATGATGTTATCTCACTAGAGAAAAGCCTTTATACCCTAGTTGACTAATAAAGACCTTTGCTTCCACATATTTCTGAATCACAAAGTAAGCATGCCAGAAACATTCACAAAGTGTCAACTATTTACATGTTCATGCCTTCATTCTTCAGTAACCATACCTGCGTGAGCTTAATGATTTGAAAAGGGTGAGCCGGGCACTGTAGGTTCTTATCCAAACACAATGGCCCAATGTATTGTACGCCACTGCCAATGGCTGTATAACACAGGAAAGCCTACCTGACTGTACTCTTTTGAATTCCTGGATGCTAGCGGCCTCAAGTCTCTCTTCAAAACACCACCAACTTTTTCTGTGCACTTCTAAGTTTCATTTTGGCCTACTGAGCCCATGTATGCATTTTACCTTATAAAATTCAAGCTAAGAAATCAGAGGATAAATAACAATAATAACAAACCATGAAATCAGTAGAGAAATCAGAAGTCTGAATTCCCAAAGTCCTCTTTATGAGAGCTATAAATCGTATCACCTGAAGGGGCTGAAGGGAGGTTCACAAAGTCAGGTCTAGCTGAGCAGCAGCACTGCCAACAATACTTGGATGACTGCCACCAGGAGCAACATTTGTCAAGCATTTGTATAATTTAGCTACACTAGAAAGCAGCTATGCTATATAGTTCACAACATTTTGGTTAATTATACTTCTAAAAATAGTCTACAGTGAAACAAAAGTCAGCTGAATACTCAGTATGTTTGGGGAAGAAATTGGCACCCACTCATTGAAGCAAATGACCCAGGACCACTTCCCAACATTAACAACCCCATCAATATGGCTGACGACAGCACAGTGACCCTTTTCAAAATGGAAAGATATTGGTGAGGTGGTTGCTTTTTCTCCCAAACATTTTCTGATTTTGTTACCCTTAAATCTTCCTTTCCTCTCTGAACCCCACTCCTAGACATCCCTTTCTTATCTGGGCCAATGATTCAATCATCCGCAATCTGCCTCCTCTCAGAGTAATGTATGTCTATCTACTGCATTGCACATGTACTGGAAACTCACCAAGGGAACCAGAAGAAACTGTGCTGCACTCAAACCTTCAGCCTAAATGGGAAGCCCTGCCATGCTACAACTTTCAAAGCTGACACTGACAGCTATCTCTACAAACACCAAAGGGATGTGGTGCCAAACAGGATGTCCCTGAGAAGTTCATTGACTATAAATGTTACGTGGTGTCATAACAAGCAATTATGTGCCAAGACTCTTGGGCTGAGATTAACCACTGAAAGACAACTTGGGAAATGTGGTAAGTCCATCCTCATAAAACCAGAGCTCCAGGGGAGCTTAGCATTTAACACTGCCATTCACAAGTCTTTGGGGAGGAAAATCTGGATCATTACAAGGCTGAAGACGTTAATAACAGTCTCCCTGTTGTAACTCATGGCTACAATAAATATGACAAGAATCATAACCCGACCAAAGACAGCAGCAAAGTGTACCACCTAAGGCTTGTCTAAAATTCAAATAATGCAGGATAACATGTTATGATGAAGGTGACTCCAAGGCGCAACCCTTACCCACACTCATATCTACCTGACACATGTGATGAGCAGCATTCATCAGGCCGCCCCTCACTGTTAAGCCAGAGATCAGAGGAGGACAGACTGGAAAAGGAGGGGGAGGAAATACAGCAACATCATGAACCTCAACAAACAGAACTTCTTAAAGCTTGTTTCTCGGTTTACTTCTTTTCTCCCATTCTTCAACACACTTCAATGTATTCCTCCAATTCTAGGTGTCTCATATATTTGAATAGAAAAAATGAGAGACAAATTTCTTTAACAAAGAACTTTCCCTGAAAGGCTTATAAAATATACAAAAATGGCTACTTCACAGAGAAGTCATTCAATTCCTGGTTCTTTACCATTGGTTTTATCCTCAAACATTCATGAGACACTAAGGATTTTACACACATGGACTCATTCCATCCTCATGAAAACTCTGAGGTAGATAGAGGAATTCCAGAGCTACAAGGTCAAAGTTGGGGTAGCAAGACGTTAAACCTCAACCCTATATTCAGCTTCTATCTTTCCTGTATTTTACCTGATACTTGGCATATTAGAGGAGGTACCTTCTGTTTGATACAGCTCAAGTTCTTATACCTTACATCACAAGCCCTTGCTATTTTGAAAGATGATTTCTAGAATGAATCACCATAATGACTGAGCAAACTCTGACCACCCAAAGTTCCAGCGTAGCTCCAAGCCATGGGTCAAGAAGGTCAGGGGTTAAAAGGACTGATCAGTAGTTTCATCTCCTGTTAACATTACAGAGAGACCTAATTCAAAACACTGAAAACACAGAAAACTGGACTGAAAACATGCTACAATTCATCACAGGAAGGCAAGTTAGCATTTAAATCAAAGGTAATGTTTCCTCTTGATTTTTAGGGCAACTAGCTCACCCTGGTGGAGACAAAGTTCAATTACACAACTACCAATCTCCCATACCACCTCATTAAAATACTGTTCTAACACTGGGGAAACTGACTCACATCGTTGGTATCTTTCATGATTTCTGAGAAGAGGTACATGTCATACAGTTAATTACCTAAACTGTGTTAACAATACTACATCTGAAAATTTGTCAATAAATGTGGAAAGTCTCTGAAGGCTTCTTAAACTGAAATCAAATACAAACCCAGGATGTATTGAAAACAATAAATGTATCAAGAGTGGTTATAATCATTTCTGTTATACAACAGAGCCAACTGTCTGTTTTCTAAAATTACGGCAGCAATTTTTCCATCTGGTAAAAATCTCCTAAATTCTAACAAAGCTTAACCACAAAAATATTCACTATAATATTTTTTCCATAAATATTTATTTAGTGCCTACTAGATAATAGGCACTACACTAGACCCTTAAACAAAAAGCAAATAACAGACTACTGCTCTAGTATGGAAAGGATTAAACAACAGATGCCACAAAGACTCCATACCTGCCTCAGACTGAGGAACAAAGGCAGCCACACCAGAAATGGAACAACCTAAACATCCACTACTCATGACACAAATACACAACAGGACAGTGGGCAGGAAGAAAAAGCCTGAAATACATCTGTACATGCTAACATGGAAGATCTGTAACATCCAATAAGAAAAAGAAGGTAAGAATAGAGCACACATAAGTTTTGTGCTCATAATTCTTAAAGCAAGCATTTAGATATGGGAATATATATCTTAAAAATAGTCTAGGCTAGAGTTATAACTGCATGGTAGAGTGTGTGCTCAGCATGCACAAGACCCTGGGGTTGGTCACCAGCACAAAAATTAATTAACTAAAAACAACCCAAAACTATTAACAGTGATTATTTTAAGACAGAGGAACTTGGGGTGGGAAAAGTCTATATTCCACTGAATGTTCTTCAGAATGTATGTGTGCGTGAGTGTGTATTTGTGTGTATGTGTGTGTTTCATTTAAACATTGAAACTTCTAACATAGAAATAAATAAAAACCAAATCAGTATGTCAAACAATATGGGACTTTTATTCCTGATCTATCTGAAAAGGTTATCACTCTCATGTATGGCTCTAATATGCCAACCTCACACTCAGAGAAAGTGGTAAAAATATATGTACATAAGAAAGGACTCTTTGTGGGTAACATTTGGCTTACTGTTAAATACTGCAGTCACCTCTTCTGGCTCATAAAATCCCCAGCTCAATTTTCAATTGTCCAAGCTGGCCAACCAGCTCTGGAAAGGCACAGCTTATGAAAATACTGAGGAGGACAGACCACATTCATTCAGCAGAAAGGGAAGAGAACTGGGTCTTTCCCCACTATTACTAATATTCAAATGTCCTTACCACCAAGGAATGTCTGCATCTCCCAAGCACTTCATTCTAAAACTACAAACATCTAGTGTGTTAATATCCCTAAATTTACTAAAAACAAATCAATAAAAGTTTTTTTAGAAGACTCCAACAATTCTAAAGGAAAATGTACTTCAAAAGAATTTTCCAACTAAAGTTAAATTGAATGCATTTTTGAGTGAAGGATGAAAATCTCATTTGCAAAATCAGCAATCCAAAAAACATATTTTCACTCTGTGAGGCAATTAAAATCATATGCTTAATAATAGGGTTTACCAGTAAACTCGGTAAACCATGAGATTTTAAAATTACTCAGATGAGCCTAATTTTGAGTTTCTTACCTAATGCAGCATTATCGTCTTGCTTCTTATTCTCTCCCAAAGAGGCCATCATTTTTGAATATGTGTCATTCCACCAAGGATCATACTTCAAAACCTGTTCAATTGCCTCATCGTCAAAGAAGTCAGCTCTGGGAAAATAGTGAATGGCTTGTTATATTGCATCAGGCAAGCTTTTATTTTTTTAAATCTCAACTCATCATATTTGCATTAGAAACACAGACTGCTAAGTCAAAGTGTATTTCCAAGGAAAACTGAGCATCTTGTTTATTTTCCTTGTGGCTACTAATTCTATAAAACAAAAGGCAAGCCAAAGACAAACTTGGCATTTTTGATCTCTTTAAATAGGAGGTTTGTAGATGATCCATTCTACCCTGAAGTTGCATCCCATACACAATGGTGGAAGATGACACAAATGTGAACATAGGCTGGAACTGAAACTATGCTAGGTTTGCAAGTAGCACAGACTTTGGCAAGGTTGTAAGAAAGACCTTTCAAATCCATCAGAAAAGCAAAACAGGTGAGCAGGAAATCCAGGATACCACATCTCTACAAAAAGGCTAAATGAGGCTATACACCTACACACCTATGGACGCACATATACCATTTTTCACCATGTACGCTAATACCTTCTACAAAAATGCAGGCTATTTTATTTACCTTAGTTTTAAACTATTGAAGAACATGAAAACAACCTTTAAAGACAAGAGAAAACCAATTTCCCTGCACTCTACTGACTCAGTTTTAACTAGAAAAATGACAGCTACTTTCAGAATATCCCTCTCCATCGACTCAGAAATAACACTCTATCCTGTATTCAAAGTTGGAAATTGGTATTCTTAGAGAAAATATGACAAAGTGCAACTTGTAGTGAAAAATTCATTTTATATTTCAGTTAGCTAGAAACCCAAGGAATTGGCTGCTTTGATAAATGGAATTTTCTAGCTGATAGTTTCATGACCTTAAACACTTTTTCTTTCATCTGAGACACTGAAATCTTTTTAAAGTCAGAAAGATCACAGAGAACTCCCTGAGTTCTTTATGTGTTGTGGGTACTGTACTAAGTGGTTTTTGTCCATTATTTCCTCAAATCCTCACCCCATGGCCACCGTAGCACGGGGAGGAAGGGGAAGGAAGCACACTATTAAAACTCTCATTTGACATGGGTAGAAACCAAAGCCCAGAAAAGTGGAGTATCATGGACAAGCTCAAAGAACCACTAAGAAGTTTGGCAAAGATACAAACCCACTTAAGTCTTACTCCAGAATCAAAACTCTTTAACAAGCATAAATGTTTAATTTTTATGCATGAGAAAATAAATAACATAGTGGACAAAACTGAAGAGGTAGCATCTTGAAACTAATTTTCCCATATCCATTCTTGTCAGGTGCATAAGGCACACAAGACTACAATAAAGTAACCTGCTTTATAAACTAACCCTGAAAGTCTAATTTCTTATTAGCTATCTCTTTCTCCTTAAAGGAAAACTTTAAGACAGGGTCTCACTATGTATCTCACGCTGATGTCGAACTCACAATCTTCCTGCCTCAGCTTCATAAGTGTTAGGATGACAGGTGTGAGCCACCGTGCTCAGCCTGGAAAACTCTTTTTGAATTAAGGCTCTACTATAGATTCATCCACAAATTAGAATGTCAGCTTTTCCTAAGAAACTCATTTCGAAAAAGAAAAGCTGAAAGAGTAAATTGCTAACATGCTATAACTAAGTGACTCATTAAAAAAAAATGACTTGGTGCCATGCTAGGCATAATAGTTCCAATGCTGACAAGACAAAGACTGTGCTGACCCTGGAGAATTTACAGTCCCACAGGACAATCAAGTAATTACAATATGACATAACATCACAAGATCCTAGGGGCAAAATAAAATTGAGACTATAGGCAAAGGCTCTGCAGAAAACATTATCTAAGCCAACAGGTGAAAGATAGGAGTTGGCTACATTGAGAGTGGTAGGAATAGTAATCCAAAAGAAGAGTTGGCAAAATTTACAAAATGTGGCCTCACATTTAAGTAGGAAAAGTTGAAATAAAAGGTTGGGGACAACAACCTTGTAAACCATGTTAAAATTATCCCTAAGGCCAAGTGAATGCTTAGTGGCTTTTACATAGGGAATGACAACTTAAAGGGACATATCTGAAGGAGCAGAAACAACAGTGCTCTAGAACAGCATCATGGTTGTGGAAATGGAGCAGAGTGGATTGCTGTGACTTCTGTTTAGAAGCTGGAACCCTTGAGAAGTAGGGGTACATAATTGGAGGAGTCCAGGGAGTGCCCAGGATTTTCCACAGCAACTCAGTGGACAATAATACAGAGGCAAAGGAAGTTAACAGACATGAAGAGAGAAATGATGGCTTCTACTTAGGACAGGATGACTTTGATAAGCCCTGTCAAGACTTGGAGATCATTCCAACAAGCAGGTAAAGATACACATCTGATACTCAAGAGAAAGACATTTGAGTCATGAACATTTAGACCAAGGAAAAGATCAGTACTGCACAGAGGAACTGGCATGGTGAGAGAAAAGGGCCTTGGACACCTGAGCACTGAGGATACTTATGGCTTTCCCCCAGGGGGATCAAGATGGTTGTAGAATAGCATTCCTGATGCTTCTGTCTCTCACCCATACCCTAAAAGACACTCTAAACTGTTTAACTGATTATTCTGAATAAAATTTCCCTAATCCAGTTCCAATAATCTAAACTGTGATGGTTTACTTTCTACACTCTGTGAATTAAGGAGTTTCGTGATTATAATTTGAGGCTGATAAATATCCTACTTCACAGAAGAAATTATTTTCAAGTTTTTAAATGACATTTATCCAACAAGCATTCACTGAAATGCCCTCTACAGCAGCATCCAGGAGACAAACATCAATAAAAGTCATGAGCATAAGGACTCCAAAATTTAATGGGAACCATGGGCACAGATACAGAATGGGGCACAGGTGGTTAAAGACAAGATGAGCTGCCACAGGAGAGTATTAAGATGGAGGGGTCCACGAGGGTGATAGCTGAGCCCAGGCTCAAGGACAAGTTCTTCAGGCAAATGGGGCAGGGGATCAAGAGCTAGCAAAGAGACAGTAACAGTAAAAGGAAGTATATGAGAAGTGGTGTGATGTGCAGGAAGCAATGCTAGGAATCTCTCTGTATAGCTATCTTTATCTCAACTAGCAAAAATTCTATGTCTTTCATATTATTGCTTTTGAAATTCATAACAAAACTGGAGAAGAAGGCAGAACAGGTTCTGCCTGGAAGCAAGGGGGGTGGGAGGGAGAAGGAAGGGGTAGGGGGGAGAAATGGCCCAAACAATGTATACACACATGAATAAATGAATAAAGAAAAAAAAAAAGAAGTGGTGTGGAAATATAAACCTTCATTGTTGCCACAATGTAAGATGTGGGCAGGATCCAGGTCACAAAGAACTCCTGATTCATGCTAAGGAGTGAGAAGCTTATACTTTAAACAAGGAGCACCAAGTACAGGTGGAGGCAGGTTTTCACATCAGTACATCACCCTCCATGCTGATAGTTTTGTGGCTGATGGACCTGAAGAAGGCCAGACTGGAGAGATGCTTGTTAGGCAGCTGGAAGAGGATTATAACAAGTCAGACACAAATGAGGGTCAGAAGTAGATGAAGTGAAGCTAATAATACAGAGATAAACAGCACAACTTCAGGACTAATCAAATGTATGGAATAAGAAAGATGTCAAAGATGAATCTCAGCTTTCTAACCTTGGTGAACAGAGTGAAAAATGAGGCACCTCAACCAAGTGAGAAAATTCAGGAAGACTTTAGAGGTAAAATGATGAGCTCAATTTTGGACATGCTGAAACAGAGGAGTCCATGGGATTCCCAGTCACTCTCTACACCCTTTACCTGTTTTTTCTTCATAGCCTTTCATCACAACAAAAAGGTTGTGATGCCCCACCAACAGAACATAATTAAGCTCCACAAGTGCAGAGACCTGTCATACTCACCGTGGTATCTCTGCAGCCTACAGTATTGTAGATGTGCAGTTCATTCAAACAAATGCTCACTGAACCAATAAAAGCATAAATGAAATAATGAGTGAAGTTTTATTCTGATGCTTTTCCTTATGCCTGGCATTTTGAATAGAAAGCTACATTGGAAGCATGGGATCCAACTCCCAGCCTCCCAATTACTACTTGAGATATACTTAAGCCAGATCAATACACAAATTCAAAATAATGAAAAATTATAATTTAAAATTGTACTCCAAATGGGGGTATGATCATTTTTGTCCCTTATTTAAATCTTAAAGATGTTCACATTGTTGATTAAATTCTTTTACTGTTTTCTCCAAAATAAAGAAATAAGCAAGATTTTATGAATTAGGTAAGGTAAAAAAACATGACAGCAATTAAAAGACAGTATGAGGAAAAAAAATACTCTCAGCAAGACAAATAACAAAAACATGGCTAAGAGTAAAAGGGTAAAGGTTATTAAGAAATGTTTCAAATATCAACATATTTTAGTGTAGAAACAGTATCCAAAAGGAATACGTTGCAAGAAGTGGATCAATTTCTGTTGATCATCTATTAAATGCCCATCACTATAAAATACACCAAAACAAATCAAACCACACTGATAGCCAGATTTTACAACAAAAGACTTTAAAAATAGTAAGAATCCAAAAGTAAGTATATCTACTGTTGGAATGTATACATTTGTCTTTATAATCAACTGATTTCCCTGTGTTCTGAGTATGCGCTCTCAACTTAGCCCAGGTCTAAATTTTAGCCACTCCTGTAAGCACTACTCCTTAAGAAAGAGACAGAACATTTCATGCATACAACTAAAGAAAATGAGCTTCGTGATAAAGGAACACAGAAAATGGAGAATTGGGCTGCTTAGATATTACACTGACAACCATAAATTTCAGCCTCCTAATTCTCTCAGGTCACAGACTTATTCTTCTTGTTTTAGAAGAGAAGAGATAGGCAGTTCTTCTAATTAAGCTACCTCCCACTTGAAATTTCAGTCTTGTCGAACTCATTCTATGCTTATGCTAGTCTGAGAAATTTGCTGACAGTGAAATTTCCACTTTAAATATTCAGCATGATTTCAAATGGGTTTCTTCAAATTACTCTTCAGTGGACCTTTAAAACCACAATTGGAGAGATAAAGGTAATTAGAAATGGCAATGTAAATGGAGTTGAATCTCTCAGATGTCCTCCAAACTGTAACATGCCCATGCTTACCCAGCTTCCCTTAGGATGCTGAATAGTTCAACCATTCATCACTGCACATCACTCATTCTATTTGCACATCACAAGATAGATTTCTGCCATTCCAATTAGTATCCCACTGTGTCACAGGAGATAGAATGTTAATCACAAGAGCAACAGCAGTTAAAATGAAACTGTACATAAAAAAGGAAACACAGAGTGACAAATGGAGAGTCTCTTTTCAAGTCCTGGCCAAGCCACTTAGTAGTAGGGTGACCTTGGGCAAGTCCCTTAACCTCCTTTCCTAATCTGTTGTGAAAATTGAGTTAAATAATCACATGAGAGCACCTGATAAGCTGAAATCGTTATACAAATGTACAGGGAAGTGACGATTATAGTTGCATATGTAGCAGGTGAGAAATTGCTGGCCCAGATCTTGGGAAGAATAGTAAATGAAGTCTACATCAACATACAACACCCATTCTCTACACATTCTAGGACAGTTAAGTATTCACAGAGGCCAGGTGACAATGTGAAGTGCTGCTATCATGGCCGATGAGAGACGGTACAATCTCCAGTTAGATAAGTTCCTTGTGCAAATATAAGCCTGATAGAGATGCATTATGGCTAATGACACAATTAATACAGGTGGAAAAATATAGGGAAACTTAAAAATTAGATTCTGTTTACCACAAAGAATAATTAGTTGTGCATTTGAAACAGATCACTGATTACAGGTGCTAATGGATGAAAGGGAAGACCCTGGATCAGCAAGAAATGCAATACATGTAGCTTCAGGTTCTTAAGGAAACTGAGCTATACCTTCATTTACATATACCATTAATCACAATATAAAGTCTACTCAAAAGAAGTGTCGATGTTCTCATGAATTCACTATTTGTTTTTAAGCTTGGTGAGAAGAACTCAAGAAAAAGTTCTCCATTGCCAACATGAACGACTAAGAAGCAATAGCTAACAAAGATCCCAGAGGTAACACAGTTGTAAGTTAAATTAGATGACAATTAAGGCTTTGAGCCATCACTCATTTCTAGAATCCAAAACCTATATGCCTAGTACAGTTAAGGACACTTAAAAAATTTTAAATGTCAAATAAATTATTTAACCCTCCAAAAATTGAATACTCACAGATAATGATCTGCATCAAATTTGGCCAGCTCAGCAGCCAGTCGCTTCTGCCTTCGCTCAGCTGCAGGGGTGAAATCTGGATCCTTAACATCAAGAACTTCACTCAGTTCATCCTAACACCACCCAGAAAGAGAAAGAAGAATGACTGCTATCTCCTATTTTTAGCACTTGAAAATCAAATTTTGAGGGGAAAAAAATGCCAAAGCACTGGAACAATCTAATTGATCAGTAAATCGTGACACTTAGATTAAAATCCAGTAAATATGTGTTAAGCACCTACCACTACTCCCAAGGCCCTGGTGGAAACTTTCTCATAGATTATCTCATTTAATCCTTACAACAAACAGACTACCATATATGAAAGCTATAAAGGTTTAACATAAAAACAAGAGTGGAGTAAATCCATGCAAGCAAATAGGACTGTTTAATTCTCCATCCATTTATAACTTACAAGCTATTAAGGGTACAGCAGTCTCAGCATCCAACATCTACATACAGACTTTTCTTTCCCCCTACAATCTAGCTCAGCTAGTCTCAGAAAAGAATTACCATGGAAGACAATACACACAAAACTGTGCACATTCTACTTTGTGAGCCAATTTAAGAATTTTTCTGGACAATTCAAATGAATATGGCTTTCCATTTGGAAATGTAAGAATCCACTTTACTGAGATGTAAGCTTATCAATATGTAGCATGTTTCCTAAGTGGAATCCTCTACAGAATAGATGTGTTTTAGAAAAACTGCCCAGAATTCCATATGACATTCTTTCTTCCAATCACAACTGTGAAGCAAAGAAACCTTACACAATGCAAAATATTCCTAAAACTGTGCCTTTTTTTCTTTTTTTCCTTCCTTCCTTAACTTCCCATTGCTACCACCAACCCCACGGGAGAAATACAGAAACTGGAAGAAGCTTAAAAGATATAAAATGAAAAGGAATCAAGGGGAATAACTTGGTGGAATTGTGGAGACAAACTATTAAGGAAGATATGCACGTGAATTATAGGTTAATATTGAATAGGCATGCTTAAAAGTTGATGGCTGTAATGCAAAACCACTAAAATTAAGGTGAGCTATACTGTATCAGTCAGGGAGAGCCTAGGATACCGTCTCCTCACACAATCAAAATTTCCACATAATAATAAGTAAATAAATAAATAAATAACCCTCTATCCATTTAGGTCAAATAACATCACAATATTTAATCTAAACACAGTCTAATGTGTTGAAAGGAGTTCAGAGACCTTTTTGGAAGCCACTAGAATAGCTAGAATATTTTAGTACAAATATTCTTGGCAAAAGCCAGATTACTGGCTGTGTCCAAATTTATAAAGAAGTACTCATGATGCAAAGTGCTTAATGAGCATGCAACAAAGTTTCCAAGGAAAAATACTTGCTGAGTTTCTGGAGATGAGTTCTCCAAAAACACCTCTTCCCTGAGCAGTGCAAAGTGGATTCTTCCTCTCTCCCTCCACTTCCTCACCTGCCTGAAAGTCCCAACTGCAGCCATAGACTGGGCAAGAGTGCTAATGCAGTCCCTGCAGGACTTACCTCAGAAAGGAGACTACTAGGGGAGCTATTTCCTGCCCTTGCATTCCAAGTCTCACTCTCCATCAACCTGGTGTCACCCCTTTTCTTTCTACTTGGTTCACATACTCCCTCCTCTCCCTACCACCATACTTCTGAAATCTGTCTGATAAAGAGTGACTTGAGTTAGACAAACCTGGATCTAACTTCCAGCTCCAGTTGTGTCATGTAGCCTCAGTGAACCTCAGCTTACTCATGTAAAATGAGTCAAATGGCACTTCTGTCACAGTACTGGGGACTAGTTTCCTCTTGCTTCCTTTGCTGTCACAAATCACCACAAATTTAGTTGCCTATTACAACTCAAATTTACAATCTTACAGTTCTGGAGGTTAAAAGTTTAACATCAATCTCACTATGTTAAATCAAGGTGTTGCCTGGCTTCACACCCTTTTGGAGATTGAAGGGGAGAGTCTGTTTCTCTGCCTTTTCCATCAGAGAGGACAGCCTCATTCCATCACCTATGAGTCCTACATCACAGTGCCATTCCTCCCTTGACTTCCTTCATCACATGGCCTTCTCTTTTATACCTTCCTCTTACAAGAAAGGACCTTATAATTACACTGGCTCCACCTGATAATCCAGGGCACTCTCTCCATCTCAAGAGCTTTTGCTTAATCACAGCTGCAAAGCACTTTTTGCCACATAATGTAACATTTTCACAGGTTCTGGGGATAAGCACAAGGACATCTTCTTTTGTTGGAGAGAAGGGAGGCGATCATTTGGTATCGTAGGGTATCACAAGGATCAAATGAAATGATATTAGTAATTAAGTATAGGCCTTACTATACTCAATAACTTCGGATTCCTTTCTGTCTCCCCACTCCACAGTTGCTCCTACAGAGTACCCATCCTTCTTCCACATCACATTCCTCTCCTGCTAGTAGCAATTAAAAGGGGAAAGGGGTGTTTAAAAAGTTCCGCTTCATTATTTCACCTGGACCAGATGTAAGGTCATAAGTAGACTATAATCAGTGAAGCTTGGTAGCTAACTCCACATTTCAGAGGGTAAATGGACTCCCATAACCACAGGCATTCAAGACACTAACCGCACTGAGCACAAACCCATACTCTCAGCATAGCTCTCCTTCATCTAGTCTGTCTTGCCTTTTAAACTCATGTCTACCATCCCCTCTGGCTCTAGGACACTCAAAGCCACACACTAGACTTTAGTCTGCTTCTGGAAAATATCAATTCAGTCCCTACTCCAAGCCTCAGCATTTACAGTGCCCATCTCGTCCGTCAGAGCTCAGTGAAAATGTCCCATCCCCAATGGGGTCTCTCCTATCACCCCATTCTTCTCCTTCACCTGTCACTATCTGCCATCATCTTGTCTATTTCCTATTTACATGATTACTGTCTGTCTTCCTACTAGAATGTTCCATGAGGGCACAGAGTTTGTCTATTGTTTTTTTTATTTCACTGGGTCCCTAGCAGTGGGCCTGGCAGTCAGCATAAAATCATTTATCAGCAAAGAGTACATGAGGGCCTGTTACGGGCTAGGCACTGTCTGGAAGCTGGACTAGAGATTTAGTAACAAACCCATACACAAAGTCCCTGCTTTAATGGGAATGAGGGCTGACGAGTAAGAAAGCAGCTCTTTTCCGTCCTTCCTCCTCTCTCTTCTGATTTCCTGACAGGGCCTCCACATACAGACACAAAACACGTACATGACAGAATGAGAATGTTCAAGGCCATGGAAGCCCTACCCAGGCTTGTTCTGCCCATAGTCATATACCACGGCCCTGTTCAAACTGAAGCCTAAGGGTTTAGGCAATCTAAAAGTCCAGGGAAGGACTGGAGGTATAGCTCAGTGGTAGACCACTTGTCTAGTTCTGGGCTCAATTCTAGCACTGCCAAAAAAAAAAAGTCTGAGCGATCAATCAACTAAGTGGAGGGAATTAAAAATGAGAATGAGAATGTTAATCTACAGAAGGAAGAAAAGGATTCCTTTTTTTTTCTCTCATTTTTTTTTAAGAACTGCCATAGTCACTAGTCATTTGAACTATTTAAAGATGGGCACTGCCAAGAAAAGGTCATGGAGGACTTCAGTCAGGCTTCTGTACATTTAAACCATAGATCAGGCTGAGCTACACAGAGAGAAAGTGAACTGTGTGCATATCTGGCCAGTGGCTCTCCTAGAAACAAAAGCCTCAGGTCCCCAGGGCAGCCAAAGGAAGGAAAGGGCCAACAGGCCTGGCACCTCACAGCTGCTGGCAGGAGCAGTCCCAGGAGTTTGGTGGACTGGCACCCAGAGACTCAGGATTGTGACTGCTGGCAGCTGCTGTCGCCAGAAGCTTGTTGTGCAGCCCTGACTTTGAGCAGCAGGGCAGCTTTCCAAAGGTGCCAGAAAGTGGCAGGGGGAGTGAGAGAGAGAGAGAGAGAGAGAGAGAGAGAGAGTGAGAGTGTGTGTGTGTGTGTGTGTGTGTGGTGTGTGTGTGTGTGTGTGTGTAGCAGGGGAAGGAATGGTGAAAGAGAATTTGTTTCAGTAAAAATATTCTTATTTTGCTGGGCACCCATGGCTCATGCCTGAAATCCTAGCTACTCTGGAGGCAGAGATCAGGAAGATCACATTTCAAAGCCAGCCTGGGCAAATAGTTCACAAGACCCTAGCTCACGAAAAAGGGGTGGTGGAGTGGCTCAAGGCAGAGGCTCTGAGTTCAAACCCCAGTACCTCCCCTGCCCCTCTCAAATTATAGAAGTTCACAAGTTGTGTAAAAGGTAAAGGCTATATTCTTTATATAAAGTGTTAACTTATTTAATAAAGACAAGATACCTAAGTGCTTGTGGTATACTTTTTTTATGATGAATCTATATTGCTCTTTTCATTAGAGAAAATAAAGGCAGTTTCTGTTTAATTAGGGATTTAAAAAAAGATACTTTTAAAATACTGTGGTAGAATGCCTGCCTAGCAAGTATGAGGCACTGAGTTCAACACTCACACACACAAAAAAAAACAAAAAACAAACTAAAATAACAACAACAACAAAACCCTGGTAAAATATGACTAGTTGACTAGTGAATGAAACTTCATGGCTATTTCTTTACCCAAAGACAGAACTAGAGAAACTAAGCTTGTGAGAAAACTCTGTATTTGAGAAAGTATGAAGTTTCTCAGCTCAGTATTTCACGCTTCTTTACTGTTAGAAAAGGCCTTGTTGTTAGTCTTACATGTTCACTCAGCTTTTACCCACTTGGTCTGACTGTCACAAAGAGAGCAGCTGAAAGTACATAAGAACTCTGCAAGCAATACCAATCATGTAAGATTCTTGCGGCAATATCCCATAAAATCTATCTACCTTCATACCCTGAAAAGGCTATCCTTTAGTGTTTGGCACCTTGGTTTACCATGATTTCTGAAATCTGGTAATTTCCTTATTGTCATAAAGGACATTATATCCCTCAAATTTAGTTCATGGAGGAAACCATAATCTTTTGCAGAGCATGGTGGTGCATGCCTCTAATCTCACCACTTGGAAGGTGGAGACTGGAAGATTGAGGGTCTCAGTGTCAGCCTGGGCTATAGAGTGAGACCTGTCTCAAAATAGGAAAAAGAAAAGAGAAGAAATTTCTCTTAAAGAAACACACGTCCCTTGGCTTGTGTCTTGGTAAAAAGTGTACATGTGGCAGTAATGATGACATGATGGAACAGGGACCTTAAGCAGATGCACACGCAGTGCTAGCCAAAGACCCTGAAGTGAGGTGAGCTTTAGGACTCAGGCTCCCTCAAAGTGTAGAGAGGTAATGTGGTACACACACATTTTATTTAACCTCCTGTATGAAGACTGGGGCAGTACTTGTGTCCATGTACAGTAATATTTCTACACCAAAAATTTGGAATATGAACGCTAAGTATGTATGTTCTGAAATTTCTTACTTCAAATCTAAAAAACAACCATTAAAAAACAAATATCAGTTCAAGTAAGGCTTTGGTGCCAAATAAAGTATTTTAAAACTTTCAGTTTTCAGACCTTTCAGAGATCCAATATTACAAGCATGGGTGGTAAAGCTCTACCTCTAGCAGTGTACTACTTACATTACAAAACCCTTAGTTTTGCTCACTTATGCACTTTGCTCACTTATGCAGGGGGGGGTCTGGTTTTGTCTCTTTTCCTACGATGAGGGACTATGAACTCAAACTGATTAGGAAAGCAATGTTCATTCAGTTAAAATCTGAAGATGAGTTTAGTGATTTTAGACAGTTAAGCTAAATACTTGGGAATAATAAACATTAAATTCAGTGGTTCCTTTCCAATGGGGAAATACAGGGATGTAATTAGGAAAGAGCAGGCAGGGAGTTTCAACTCTACTGATACCATTGCCAGCTTTGGACTGACCACAGCTAGCTCTTGGCCCAACAACTGAGGTCCATTCACTGCAGTGCCTGCTGCAGACAAAACTCAATCTGTTCTAACTCCCTCAGACTTCACCAGAGAATGAGGGCAGGCAGAGAGCATGCAGGCAGACCACAATTCGGCAGATAAACACTGGGGCATTTGGAAGATATTTAATCAGCATTATTTTCTCCTGAGTAAATTCCAATTTTGTTCCAATTCAAGAATATTGAGAGTATTTTATATTTCTTCAATGGCTGAGGTCTTTTAGCATTCTATACTTTTCAGAGTTTTCACATGCAGTATCGCCTTAAGTTTTCAAAGCAGTCTTATAAAGTAAGTGAGCAAACTTATTTCCACTTTACCAAGAGAAGACAAAAGTTTCTTGTTGTCAAGTAACTGGCATGGTATCCCAAATCTGAACAGAGGTAGAAGTGGAACCAGGACCTAGGTCCTGTCTCTTTCTTTGAGAAATTCAAAAACCTCATACTACAGAGCGTCCCTAATTGAAAATCTGAAATCCAAAATGCTCCAAAATTAGGAACTACCTGAGCAGCACTCAAATGAGAGTTAACATTTGACCTCCACCAAGAAGAAATAAACAATAGTATCTACTATCCATCAAGAACAAGAACTGAATAATTTGATCAAAGCATACATTCTCATTTTCACTAAGAAAGTATCCCATTTGCTGTAAACAATGATGCCCCTTGCCCAGAAGTATAAAAGCATAAACCTTTGTTGGAAGGATGAGGAGAGAACGATCCTATTTTGTATTTTGGAACAGTGACACTGGGCAGAGTAGTGAAGGAAATGGAAGGTAATGAACATCTGTCTAACAAGTATGTTCACAGAGTTGTGCTTTGTGCTATAAATATGTCACCTCATGTAACCCTCATTAAGAAAACCACCCAGTGTAAGCAGAACTGAAATTAAAATAGCCAAATGAGAAAACCCTGTATCCCCTGCTTTTCCAGAAAGACAACATACCTGTAACCGCTGAACCACTCCTGATCGTAGGTTGCCAAATCCATAGTGGCACTGAGGGTGCAAAGAACTTTCTGATACCTCTTCATAAGGGGTCTGCTCAATTTCCCAGTCAAACTCTTCATCATCATCTTCAGCTACTTCCTCAGAAACTTCAGTTGCACCTAAATGTGTTAAACATTCATATTTTTTTAAAGTACTTGGATTCCTACATACAATTAGGAGAAGAAAACATCCAGGAAAAAAATGCCTATATATACGTGCACCAAAAGACATGTACAAGAATATTCACAGTGCCACTATCCACAAAGTTCAAAACAATGGAACCAAGCCAAACATTCACCAGCAGTAGGAGACAGAAATAAATGTGGTAGCCCGGCATGATGGTACATGCCTATAATCCCAACTACTCTGGAGACTGAGATAAAGAGGATCATGGCTCAAGGCCAGCTCAGGCAAAAAGACTAGCAAGACTCCTACCTCAACAATTAAAGTCAGGTGTGGTGGCTTGTGGCTATGGTTCAAGCTATGCAGGAGGCATAGAAAGGAGGATGGTGGTCCAAGGCCAGCACTGAGCAAAAAAATGAAACTTTATACAAAAAATAACTTTAAGAAAGCAAAAAAGGATTGAGGTGGGGCATAACTAAAATAATAGCACACCTGCCTAGCAAGCACAAGGCCCTGAGTTCAAACTCCAGTACTATCAAAAAATAAAAATAAAAAATAAACATGGTATATTTATAAAATATAAGATCATATAGTAATAAAAGCAGACAAACCTCTGCTACAATATGAATAAATCCAATAAAAATAATATTTAGTGCAAGAAGACAAAAAATATATACTGTAAGAATTATAGATACAATGTGAAAATAGGCAAGAGGGGATACTGGTACTCTCTCCTTGAAGAGGAGAGAGTGCAAAGTAAGTGGGAGGAGCTCCAGGAGGGACTCCAGGCCGCTGGAAATAAACATTCTGGTTCTTGACCTAGTTGGTGTTCACATTATGTAGCTCATTAAACTGCACACATCTGACAAGATCATGCCGAAACTGGTCCAAAAATGTGACTGACCTCTGGTTCACTTAAGTTATTTATATCTTTTAAGTATACACCAAATACACAATTTTCATATGACCATCTGTCTTTTTACCTGAAGTATTTTCTCCAATTTGCTATTTGCTAAATCCCTCTTCCCTAGACACCCAGGGCATCCCAAACATTTCTATTTATCTCCACTCCCTCCCAATCTTAGTAAACATACCTATTTCCTCCACAAGTGGTTTGGCCATCCTAGGTTTTCTTGGTGCCAGAAGAGCAGTTAACATGTTTAGCCCCTCAAAATGCTGGCCAGGAGTTTCCTTGGGCAATCGAATGGTAAAAATTCCTTAAAGATAAATGTGTTAATGCTTAGACAGATAAAAATATTCAAAGACTTCACAAATATGTCCAAGAAACACATGTCTTGGTAAAACCTAATTCTATTGCATGGGGCTCCAAAATTATGCTCTTATATGGACTTAGTGAACACAAATCAAAATAGAAAAAGGTTCAAATGGAGCTTTTCAGAGGCTGCCACCTCTATAAGAAATTAATCTGTTCAAGTTACAGGCTGCTTTAATCTTACCTAGTATTACCTTAACCTACTTATAATGTTAAAGTCCAAGTCAAAATTTCTAAAATTCAACAGCTAATGAGGCAATAGCTTAGAATTAACCACTAGCTACTTATAAAATATATTTCTGGACTAAGAAGAAAAAAAATCAAGATCTCTAATCCAATGGAGAATAGCAGCAGTTTTAAAAATGCACAAAATATTAAATAAAGCAATTATGGCTTAATAGAGTTTCTTTGATATCTCAAGAGATATCTCCCTACAGTTTATCCATGGCAGACTAAAGTTCTATCTCAAGTTCCTTGATTGGGTTTATCAACTTTATCTAAGCTCCACTGTAAACTTACAACAGTGCTTACTATTCTTTTATTTTTGTTTGATTTTCTGAGACAGTGTCTCTTTATGTAGCCCAGGCTGGCTTCAAATTCACAACCGTCCTGCCTCAGTCTCCCAAGGGCTGGAATTACATCATGTCTGTAACTCCATGGCTGTAATAGCAGCATGACTATTACACCTAAAATTTTAACTCTTTCAGTGCACTGAACTGAATTCCAATGTATCAAATATAGTTCAACCCAAATAGTTCCACTGAACAACCTTCCTAAACTCCACATACTTCTAAAACTTAATAAATTTGTTTCAATAAGCAACCTACCTGCAGATTTGCTAGCTAGGAAGGCAGGTTCCTTAGACTTCACCACCACATTACCTACACTGTTATGAGTGAGAACTTCATCACTTAACTCTCTCATCCCACTCTCCCTCCATTCCCCTAGTTCACTGAGGTCTACAGAGCACTGAATAAATGACACGAGAGTACACAAGGCACTGCTGTTCCACATCCAGTGACAAAGGAAAGCCGGTGGCTTCTAGAAAAGGAAAATAAATGGTTTCATGGCTAGCTAGAATGAGTGATTTATCAATCAAGAGAAGAAAATCCAATTAGCCTTTTAATGCCACCCATGGATAGCTTCTCTCTCATCTACCTGTCATTAAAATTCAAGTTTGAAAACTGTACAAGAAAGGCTCCATTCACAAGCTTATAAATCACCCACACCTTTTGTAATCAATCATCTCACACATTCTAATCTTTACTTTTAAACACCTACTAAATGTAGAAGAAACACTTCCAGAAATGGAGTCAGAATATTTAACTAATTCACCTTGCCTTTGAAGATTATTGTGAAATATTTTAAAGGACTCAGGAAATTATAATTGTCCAAACATCCATAAATAACAGACACTGAACATTAAAGGAAGAGTGATGGGGCAGACTGCAACTGCCAGACATAAAGGTCCCTATGGTATCTTAAAAAACTATTGTGTAAATACTCTAATGTGGAAAATACATAGAAAAAGTATAAAAATGCCAAAAATGATACCTTTGTCTACATCATAGGACCCTTGCTCGCTTCCATTTTCTACAACCCTTCCAGGAAGGTTTAACCTGCAGATTTAACACAAAGTCTTAGGAATTACAAGACAACATATGTGATCATTAATAATAGTATGCATTTATCCATCAAAATATACCGACCACTTAAAAAGAAAGTTCTTCACCATTTCTTTCATTTTTTACAAACTAAATTAACAGATTCCTTCCCAACTAAGAAAGCAAAAATTAGAGATGACTCATTTTTCTATTTGACTATTCCAGTCCACCAATAAAACAGACTGAAAAAAAGAAAAGCCACAATAAAGTTATCACTATAGATATAATTTTTCTCCTTCTTGATGAATAGAAAATTATTTACATGCCTGGGGCCTGATATAGTGGGTGCTCAATAAAAGTACACTAATTGGCTTCCTAAACAAGAGAAATAAGCTAGAAAACGGGAAACAAAGAAAGAAAACCAACTTCTTATATAAGACAGATTACTTTAAAAAAGACAGAAAGCAAAAAAGTTTTTCTTAAATCTCATTATTACTACATGAGTATTTCTCCCTCATTAATACTAACGGAAATGAACTGATTCCTCTGCTTCTGATTCTAGCCTGTTTTAATCAGTCTCAAAAAAAGGTTTCCAAGCTGGGTGCCAGTAGCTCATATCTATAATCCTGGTTCAAAGCCAGCCTGGGCAAATAATTTGTTGAGACCGACTCAAAAATATCCAATGTGTGGCAAGTGTAAATTCAAACTTCCCAGTACCCATCCCCCCCAAAAATGTTTCCAAAACACAAATCTGATTGTTACTTTTCTATTTGAAAAAGTCTCTGTGGCTGCCTGACACTGACAAGATAATTTAAACTCCAGTATAGCATGAGGTCCACCCCATACCATTCCAAACCTCTTTCCTCCTACTCCCAACACCCTTGCTTCCTATCAAATCCTATTAAATTAAAAACAAACAAAAAAAAGGAAACCTGGCTGATTCCAAAAGGCCCAAGTGTTCAATTTCGTTGCTTTTGATGCAATGTCTCCCCAGACTATGATGTACTTTCGGAACCGAGATCCCTTCCAGGCCCAGCCTAAGGGATCTGTTTACGGATAAACTAGTCATAATGGTTATAAACACTAACTAGTGTCAGAATCTGAATCATTTACCATTTATCAGCCGTGTAACTTCCTCTGGACAAGTTAATTAACTTCAAGAATCATAATGCCTCATTTGTAAAAAAGGGGAAACAGCAGTACTTACTGGACCGTTACTGTGAGAATGAAAGAATCCACACCTTAGTGGCTGGTATTAATAAACCCGTACTCAGAAAATGTGAGCTACTGTTACTATCTCCTTTCCCCTACCTCTTACAGGTAGGGAGCTAATTTTAAAATTACATTTTCAGATCTGCCTTCCTAGCTCAACTCTCAATTTGTCAATGAGAGGGCCAGATTTAATTCATCTTTGGAATACTGTCTGTTAAAAACTATATTTTCAAAGATTGCCATCTTACACCACTTCTGCAGAAGTGGGTCTATGCCCTCTTCCTTCAAAACTCAATTGGCTTCTGGGGCTTTTTTTTTTTTTTTTTTTTTTTTTTTGCTATATCAACATAATGAAGTTATGTCATAAAAGGTGGTATGAATTCCGCTTTGCTTGCACAAATGCCTGCTCTTGAAAATGTCAACCACCATGTTATTAATCTGACTCCCCCAAAGAAACACAAAAGAGACCATGTAAAGAAACTACATAGACCATGTGAAGAAAGCCGTCCCACCAGCCTCCAGCTGCCTCAACCCTCACTATTCTATATTCCAGGTCCAGCCACCATTTGACCACAATGGCATCAAAGTCTTTAAGCCAAAACAGACCAGCCAAACTCTCACAGAGTGCCTTACCCACAGAAACCAGAGCAGATAATAAAATGACTGCTGCTGTTTTACACCATCAAGTTTGAGTTGCTGACATGACACATAATTGACACAGTAAAAAATTAAAATAGAACTGCCATATGATCTGGGCATATAAGGGAGTATATGTGTCAGGATATAATAGATACTTGCACACCTATGTTTATGGCAGCACTGCTCACAATAGCCAAGCAATAGAAATAACCCACATGTCCTACATCAGACAAATGGACCAAGACAATGTGGTATATATACAGATATATAATGGAGTTTTATTCAGCCATAGGAAGAATGAAACTGTAGTTTGAAAGTATATAGATGGAACTGGAGGACATCATGTTAAATAAGTAGGTCAGGTTCAGAAAGACAAAGGCCGCATGTTTTCTCTCATATGTGAAAAAGATCCAAAAGATTAACATATACAAAAAAGCAACATGATCATATACAAACTGATATATGGAACAAGTGTTCGTAATCATGGAACTATTCCCTGGAACTTGGGGGAGGAGAGAAAGGAAAACAGAATGATAGTCAATGATATCGAAATACATTACATCTGTGCAGATAGAGGATATAATGATATGTATTGAAAGCTGTTGGGGGGGTTGGAGGGAAGTGGTAACCGAGAGTAACGGAAGGAGTTGAACTGACCAAAGTATACTCACAGTGGAGTTACATCAAGAAACCCCTTTGAACATTGACTTTGGAATTAATAATTAAAGACAGGACAGTAAAATAGGTATACTGTGGGAGGGGGTACCTGTGGGAGGGGGAAGGGTGAATGGAGATGAAGGTGAGGGTGGTTTCATATACATATATGAAATAAAATGATGAAATCTCTTACAATTGCTTTAAGTGGGGCAGAGATGGGAGTTGGGGGGGTAGATAGTAGGGGCAATCTAAGCAACATACAATGTAAGGCTATTCAGAATTGTCACAATGAATCCTTCCTATATAACGAATATATCCTAATAAAAATGAAAAAACAAATGGGCTTAATGAGCTATCAAAAACAATGGTACAGTAGTCCACCATTTCATTTTCTGTGATTTCAGTTACCTGCCCAAGGCCCCAAAATACAGTACAATGCAATACAGTATAATGCAATATATTTTGAGGGAATGACCACTTACACATAACTTTTATTACAGTGTATTGTTATAACTGCTCTATTAATTATTGTTAACTTCTTACTGTGCCTAATTTACAAATTATGCTTTACCTTATACCTAAAGTAAAGGTACAGGGGGAAATCTAGTATAGATAAGGCTCAGTACTGTCTATTGTTTCAGGAATCCACTGAGGGGTCTTGGAATGCATCTCCCAAGGATAAGGGGGACAGACTACTGTATAATCAAATTGGTAAATTAAGTTGGGATATAATGGTGGTTTCCGCACAGGGAAGAAACCAGCATGACTAGAGAGTAAAGTTTAGTCTGAAAGGGGAGGACAAGGGATCGACAATATTTTAGGAAGAAAAATCTGGCAACGTCCTCTGCAGAATAGGGAAATAGTTATGCCTAGCTCCAAGGATCGCTGTCAAAATTAACATGACATACCTAGAGCTCTTAAGAGTGCTGCTAGCCCACCACACTGCAGGTGACGAGCGTTAGATACTACACTGCTATTATGGTTCTGCAAGGAGGAGAATCTAAACAGACAGGTGCTGTCTGCTGCCTGTCTCTCGCCGGGCCTGGGGAAGTCACCACAATTACAGAGTTAAACCAAACACGGAAGCAGGAGGAAGGAATTGGCTAATTTGGTGTCAAGGGTGCCAAGGAAAGTGAGAATTCCAGGAAGCAAGGAGCTAAGTAAGAAGTGGGCAAACAGAAGTGGACTGGGAAAAGTCCAAAGGACCGATGGTCTGGGAAGTTACCAAGGTCAGCGCGCGGTCCGGGGTGGGGATGGGGAGGCTGGGACAGCGAACGCGAGCGAACGGGACGAACAGAAGAGGCCAGGAAGGATGCAAACCGGGGCGACAGCATCGAAGCCGACAGTGACACTTTCGGACTGTTCGTCAGAAAGCTTCGATAGGTCGGTCGCCTCCCCGGCGCCTAAGCGGCGTGCAGAGGCGATGGTTCAATCCAGAACTGCTCCCTCCTCATCCATTCCCCTCGCCACCACCCATCAATGAACGACCGCCTAAGTAATGAATCCCGCACGCGCGCTCTTCACACCCCCAGGCGCCCGGAACTCGCCTGAGAAAGTACGGCTTGGCGTAGAACTTGAAGTCCACGCCTTCGAAATAGACGTCGAACTCCGAGACCCGGGCGTAGGGCACGCGGATGGCGACCGTCAGGAAGTCGGAGTCCTGACTGAGGTCGAACGCAGGGGTCAGCATCTCAGCGCGGGACGCAGGTACCGCCGAGGCACCGCGACTCAAACTCAAAAAAACCCGCACACGCGGACGCCCGTGTTGTCAACCACTGCGCTTCCGGCCGGAGACGGAAGTGTCCGTGCGTCAAGTAGGAAGTCCCGCCCACACGCCCATCTCCGTGGAGACCAGACGCTGTAAATGAAGAGGCGGAGTTTTCACAACAACCGGGAAGACAGTGAGCAGTATTTGGGCATAGTAGTTTAACCCAGAAAAAATTTGGGGGGAACTGGAACGAGAAGACGCACCAAGCTATAGAGCGTTAGAAATGCTTTTAACAGCATTGGCTTTGCAGGTAGACAGATGTGCGTTTGAATCCCTTCTCAGCTGAGGTTCCCGGCTGTAGAACCTCAGGGGAGTCACTGAGCTTTTCTGTCCTTCAGAAATCTCCACTACAGGCGGTCGTGGTGGTGCCAATCTGTAATCCCAGCCACTCGGGAGACAAAGGTAGGAGGATATTGCGGTCCTACGCCGGCATAAGCAAAAAGCATGAGACTCCATCTTAAATAAATACTAAAAGCAAAACGACTAGAGCTTACCTAGCAAGCGCGAGCCCCTGAATTTAAGCGCCCCCCAAAAAAACTACTGTAAGAGGAGGTTAATCCTAGAAACTACCCTTATAGTGATGCTACGAGGATAACATGAAGTATGCATGTAGAACTCTAACAAAACATCTGGCAAATTGTCAGCGCTCGTATGTTGGAGGAGGTGCGCAGTAGCCACAGCGACCTCCTTTAGTTCTCACTTGTCACTGATTCTCTACTTCTCTCCTCCCACACCACCCACCAGCTGCCTCTCCCCTTCGTAATCTCTTATATGAGTAGGGTTTTCTAATTAACATCCAATAATCTCATCTAATCCACACTACAAACTCCAAAGAAAAGTGGACTCAGAGAAGTTAAGCAATAGTTCATAAAATCATGCATTTTGCAAGGATCAGAACACAGAACGTTTGGCTCTCGAGCTGTGTCCAGGCCAACATTGATGAAATGTGATCTCTTTGTAGTTTCCCCATTTCATTGCTGTTGTTTTTCTCACTTTTATCCTTATACTGGTCAGAGATTGTCTTTGTCTCTTTTTTCTTACTTGTGTTTACATCGTAGTCTGTTTTCCTCCTAGTCTCCCAATGCCTCTCCCTCGAATTTCCCTCTTCCCTCAAATATTCCCTTGATCTTTCTTCCCTCTCCTTATTTCTATTTCCTGTTACCACACCAGAAACTAGCATAGACCAACTATGGTTTTAAATATCTGTGGGAAAGGGGTTAAATTCATCTTCTAGGATGGTGAAGATCACCATATAACTTCAAAAGCCTTTTCAACAGCTGGATTTTTTTTCTTTTTTTTTTTAATGATTCTAAGGAAACAGTCTTGAAACTTAATTAGGTCTGAGAAAAAAATATTATCAGAACCTAACATTAATTGAACACTTAACTATGTGCCAGAACTGCAGCGAACCCCTTCTGTGTTCTCATTTTCCCACCCTGACAGCTCTGTAAAGAAGGCATATGTCTTCCTTTCCCTTGCACAGGATTGCACAGCTTGTCAGTGGTCCAATGCAAATTGAAACCCAGGGAAGTCTGATTCCTGAGTCCAGGCTCTAGACTACTAAAAGAGTTGACTGCCTCTAATATTACCACCTACCCCTTAGCTTCACAATCTGAGGCCAAGTCTGCCTGCTTTAGACCATTCTGGGCCTTACAAATAATAGGCACTCAATATTAACAATGAATAGACACCAACCTGGAATTAGTAACGGCCTTGAGATAGGCCGTTAGCAAAATTATTCCAAATTAGCTTCTCTAGAAAGAATCTTTAGGTCTACCAAAGGACCTCATTCCTGTAGGTCACAAACAGTAATCTTTTTACATTATTGATGCCAGAGAATTAACTGAAACCAGCTATGCTATCCACAAGGAAATTCTAATTTAAAGCATTTTACCAACTAGATCTGTGCTTTTCCTGGTGTGCTTTATTATGTGTTTGGCAACACACACACGCACACACACCCAGAGACATGCAACTTTGTCTCTCTCCTTCTCTAAAGGTGAGCCTTCCAACTACTCTTGAAGACCCCTTTACATGTCCACATACATTTCTTTTTTTTTTTCATTTTTCTTTTATTACACATACATTTCTATATACTCTATGACTTCCTGTTTAGACACTTTGTCTGAACATATTATCACACTATAAATCTAATTTGGAAATATGCTCTTGTACTTCGATGCATTTTGAGGAATAGCTATATTAGTTCATAAATCAAATTGAGTTTGTATTTCTGGACAATGTTTAAGAATAAAGACATTGTCTCAACATTTCATGTTAACTCTGGTTTAGAAGGGGAAACAAATGAAAATTTTCATCGTCTTGAACCATTCAAAGGGCTCAGTGTTAATTTGTTAGTTTTCCATTTATGTAAGTCTTACTTTTGGGTGGCCTTTCACTACTTTAAGATTTTTTTTCCTATTGAGGGCAAATAGCTAGCCTGTTATCTTTGATTACATTAAATTGGTCCCTCTTCTGGTATAACATGATTGTAATCCAAAAGTTTCAAAACTAAATGTCAAATTTAAAATACAGCTTTTATAAACTATCCTAATTTCAGCTTTATTATCAAATTCTATGTTAGGCATTCTTTTAGTGGTGAAATACCCCTTGCTTCCAGAAGGTGGCATGTGTCTGAGCAATTAACACAATGCTATCTCAAAGAACAGGGTTTTAACCTGTGGGTTGTAGCCTGGAAAATAGTTTCCTGTGTAAGCTGTTTATAGCCCTAGTTCATTCTCTGAGCCATTTTTGGGAGATAGTGGACTCTTACACACAGCTTTACTTTCAAACTATGCCTTAACCTTGTTATTACTTTGAAAGACAACTTTTCAGACTCAGACGCTGAATAGACTATTATTCCCACTTTGTTTAAAAATCTTCCCGTACATCTTTTTCCCACTTGCCTACATTTTTGTTAAGAATATGTTTAACCATTTATTAATATTAATATTGTCATTCAGAAACAGAGCTGAACAAGTGATGATTCATTTTGATAGAAGAAAAAAAGTGAAACTAATGCTAGAATCATAAGCATAGATCCAAAAACTAGAACAAGAATGCAAAAGTTAGAATAAAAACTAAATTGCACTTTTTTAAAGACAGGGTCTCACTATGTAGCCCAGGCTGTCCTTGAACTCATCGTCCTCCTGCCTTAGCCTCTGGAGTGCTGGGATTCTGTACAGGCATTTACCACCTCCCCCAGCTCTAGATTACACATTCTGAAGTTTGAAAAATAAAAGTCCTTTTATGTAACAGTAGTAGATACAATGAGATTAGATATCCCCAGTTTTACAATTCCAAGCTATAAAACTGCTTTTAAGAGGGCTTAAGTGAATTCATGCATGGCCAATGGGTAAAAGTACGACTGTAAAAGAGGTTTAAGGACATAGACAGCAGGCTATAGACAACGCAGACGACGCTGGTTGGATCTCCAATGGCTTCAAAACGCTTTTTATTTAAGCTACTGTTTGTTCCTTGCCCCAACTCCTTCAGCCCATTCAAGTCTGAGTTGTCAGCACTAAGCTTGTTTAGTGCAGTGTTGCTAGTGGGTGTTTCAGGTAGGATTTAGTACAATTCCAACTTCACTCAAGCTCAATGAAGCTGTGAAGAAAATCAAAAATGGCTCAAACTCACACCAGTACACCCAGTGACAATGCTTCTGAGCAGTGCACCTACAGGCTTAGCAACATACATTTTAAGTGGTTAATCCCATCCCAGTAGATGAAATACAGGATTGTGTAGGAATGCTGACCAGACCACTGAGAGCTTCCTTCATTATTTAACATCATGTTTCTAAAAGATATCTGTAGAGCCTCCAGGCATTGGTGGCACATTCCTGTAATCCCAGCTACCCAAAAGGCAAAGGTAGGAGTCCAGGCTGTGCAAAAGCTTGAGACACTGTCTGAAAAATAAACTAAAAGCAATAAAAGGGCTGGGAGCATGACTCAAGTAGTAAAACACTGCCCTAACAAGTGCAAGACCTGAGTTCTTGCACAAACAACAACAACAAAAAGACATCTGCAGAAAGTGCTCTTTGCTTGCCCTACTCATATGTAGGCCTATGCACCAGGAGCCCATCTGTCACTAACAACGAATGTTGTTAATGACTTGCTCACTGGTCCCTTCTTTAAGGAATTTCCATGGGGTTTTTCCACTTGGGTATTTGGAGCAGAATGATTCTTTGTTGTTGGAGGTTGTCCTGTGATTGTAGGATGATTAGCTGTATCTGTGCCTTTAATCTCTCAGTACCAGTAACTCTGTGTAACAACCAGAAATATCTCCAGACCTTGCCAAATGTCCCCTAGGGAATAAAATTGCCATGGTCAAAGACAACTGCTCAAAGTTGATGGAAGCCTCCAGGAAGGAATCACCAGCACCTGAGACCCAAAACCATGAGGACCAAGATGGGGTACAGCAGACCACCTCAAAGGGAAGGTGACTGTGTCATGTATAGAGCTCCTGATGGGATTAGGTCGAGGCTTGATGATCAAGTCAAGGCTAGATTTTTCCTGAGCCCACTTTTTTTTTTTTTTTGTGGTACTGGGGTTTGAACTCAGGGCCTATACCTTAAGCCACCCCACCGCCCCTTTTTCTGATGGGTTTTTTCAAGATAGGGTCTCACGAACTATTTATCTGGACTGGCTTCGAACCGTGATCCTTCTGATATATGCCTTCTAAGTAGCTTGGATTACAGGCATGAACTACCGGCACTCACTTCTTTGCTTGATTCTTTTACCTTTTCCCTATCTTCCTTCACTTCCTCCCTATGGGTTTCTCCAAAGAACCTTTCCTCAATAAATCCCTGCCTCAGGTTCTGCTTTCTAGAGAACCCAACCTGAGCATCGTCCACATTCCAGGAAAACAACTGGAGAAAGAATTGACAGTGTCCACAGAGAATGCTGGCCTCAGGTTTTACCTTACTTGTAAAAAGTTCTTACAGCTTAGCTATCCTTAACCTAGACAATGTTTTCCTTGATTCAGAGTGAACATGTTTTTAG